GAAACATTCTTTTTGCTCGCAAGTCAAGGAAACTGCAGTTTTCTACTTTCTTTTTCATTTTTACCAGCTAATAGTAGGAAAGGCAAAACGTAATTCAGTATCTTTTTTGTGTAATGCAGCTCTTATTGTATGCAAATGTGTCATAATTCAAAATTAAGTCATTATTTTTGCATAGGCAGAGCTAGCAGTATATGCCAGGTTATCTGTAATACGTATCTTGTGATTAAAGAAATAAAGTATGGCTTTAATTAGGGAGGTAATAAAAGCTATTTCAATGTTTTCTTAAATACATAGGGAAGTTTTTGCTCCACTCAGATGGGGAGAGAAGAGAGAAAATATTCTAGACCGGTTTGAAATTTTTTTCATGGGCTTTCCTAATTTTGAGGAAATCCTACATTTCTAGTTGTAAGTCAAACTGTTACACTTTCTTTCTCTTCTGTGTGTTTGTCTTGTTTCACTTATAAGGAAGTAGGATTTAATTTTTTTAAAAAAATAACTTTACTTTTTCACAGAAAAAAAGGCATAATATTAAAAAAACCCAAACAAAAAAAAAAAAAACAACCCAAACCCACCTTAAATCTTTCTGCTCTTTTTTTTTCCTTTTCTGTGCCTTCACAATATTTTAATGCTGATTGTAACAACAAGATTTCACAAACCATTTTACTTCCCAACTTTTATTTTATATAGTACTATGACAGAGTTAATTCAATTAATTCTGGGGCCATATTTGTTCCCGCCAGAAAAGGAATATTACTGTCCTCATACCTTCAGTTAAGGGGAAACAGTTCTTCTGTCTTTGTCTAACTGGGCTTGAACAGAGAAGCTACTGGCTTCACTTCTTGAAATAATGTATTTTAAGATTATAGGAAAACTCATGTAGGACAGAACATCAGGCAGTTTCTAGTCCAAGCTCTTGCTCCAAGCAGGATCAGCTGTGAGACGGAACAGCTTGGTTGCTCAGGGCTTTGTCCAGTTGGGTCTTAAACACCTCAGAGAATGGAGCCAGCGCAATATCTCTGGGCAACCTGATGCAGCACCTGGCTGTCCTCTGAGTGAAAACATTTCTTTTTATATTCAGTCTGAACCTCCTGTTTAAACCTGTGCCCATTAACCTAAGATCATGCCTCTGCACATCAGTTTGCAGAAAGCTTGGACTGGTAGCTGTTTCAGCTGCTTCAAGCCAAATTTTCATGAGCCTGCCCTTGAAAGCTTCTCTTTGGCATAATATAGTAATGTTATACTCCTACAAGGGACCACAGTAAGCAAACAAGACAAAATCTGGATGACCTTCCTTACTTTTCTAATTCTCTGCCTGATTGTCATGTCAGTGAGGCTGCTTGCAGAACATACAATAAAGACACAGTTACATGTGATGGAGTTCAGTTTCAGATTAACATACCCAACATCTGTTGCCTGTTTTCAAGTAAGATGATTAAGTTTGCCGTTACCTAGACACCTAAGGCTCAATTCAGTTGCCCTTAGAGGTACCCTGGAATATTCCTTCCTAGCCTCCAGCTATCACTTCAGGATGCTACAGGTCTCATACAGGTACTGTGTCCTATTTATCAGTTCCATGTGGATGTCCCACATACACTGCCACATTTCAGGTGGTACTAGCGGCACACACAGGTGACAGTGATTTGAACCTAAAGGAGATAGTTATTTGAATCATTCTTTTAGCCTGACTACCACGAAGATATATAGTCCATTGATCATATATTAGAATTGAGACATCTAGCAAGCATTCAGACACCTACACATGCTTGCACTCAAGTGTCCTCACCACAGACTGAAAACCAGCCACAGCCCAAGATCATGGCAGATGACAGCAGATAACTACAGCTCATGAAATCAAATGTCAGTTCTGTGTAGTTATGGGTGAGGATGATGCTTGAGACAAACATCCATGTGAGAGAGTAAAAATATTCTTTACTTCTTTCTCTTCCCTGACCACTTCATCTCAGGAGAGACTATCGTTCAAAGAGTAACTAACTAATGAAGTCCAAACATGGTCCTTGAGGTGGAAGAGATGGGAGGTACAAATCAAATCCCACCTAATCTCTAATTCCTGCTTTCTGTGAATGTAATAATATGTTGCTCAGTAAAATGTCAACAATAACATACAGAACTACCATGTACCTTTTGAGAGACAAAAGATAAACTGAGCTCTCAAATCTTCATGACTTCCATTCTTCAGAGAATACTAAACGAGTCTTCCAGAAATCTTTCTCTTAGCTCAAGAGTAGAGATCTTCATCTGTTGTTGATACTGTTGCTTTGAATTGCAGTGGCAGATCCCGCCCTTAAAAAAGCCTCAGCTAATTCCAGTATCTTCTAGGTAAAGTTCTAGTAGAACTTTCATGTGGATTGAAAAATTTCAGTAAAAACACTGACATCTACTTTACAGATGTGGAAGAACCATGAACAAGGAGTAAACATTTAAAGATTATAAGTAAATATACTAATGTAGTCAAAAGCAGACAATATTTGGGAAGCACAGGCTTTTCTATCTGCTGGGTTTCTTTCCATGCACTTCAAGTTTCTAGCTCTTGTACTTCTCCTCATGCTTTTCTCAACTTACTTTTTTTCTCAGCTGGATGACCTCTATATCCCAGACAGCCACCTAATTCTGCCCTATACTGTCAACCTTATTTTTCCTGGCTTTGTGAGCTAAAATGATGCAAAACTCAAACCACACATAGGTGCAAGCTGACGTTGAGGCATTGCTTTGATAGTACTATAGGTAAAACTGAATGAACTATGAAGATATTCAGCAGATGCCTTGATTAAATTCCTTTAAATGAATGTTCATGAATTATTCACTTGACTAAAAGCCCAACGATTCATTTGAACAATATCATAAAATGACTTGAATAAACTATTTTATGATATTATTCAAACTACCTCTGGCTATAAGCATTCTGAAATCATCCTCTGGATGAATTCCTAGATGCCCTCTTAGATTATCCAAAATGTTTCTCTGTGAAAAACTTTGTTGTGTTCATTTGTCCTATATCTAGGCCAATGCAATTACTAAAAGGTAATACTACATTATCTTTCTGATAACTGCAGAGTCTTCTACATCTACCAGAAGGCTATTGCTGGAGACCAAACCCATCAACTTCCTATGACAAATACAGTTTGTCCTAAAGTACATGCACAAATTAATACTAATTGTGTAGGGAGTACAATGAGCCACAGTATGGGATCCCTTTATTTAAGGAAGTTTTCATTTCATGAACGAATAAAGCCATTTTCCTTTCTTATATTTTGAAAAATGCATGTCTGTGGCAAACTGTCACTTGTATTCAGATTTAGAACCTAGAAACTAGAGTGATGGTTCCTTGGAAATACTTAAAATAGATAAGATGGATTGACTGATTGCATATTTCTTTGAATTATTGTGAAAGCACCAGATCTATCTAAATCATGCCATGAAAAAAGTGAAGTTAGAAGTTATGTAACTTCAAGTTGCTATAAATTGCTTCTTGTTGAAAGCTATATAAAACATTTTCAAATCTGTCATGTTCCACCTCTTCTGCTTTAAAAAAAAAAAAAATCTAAGTGAAAATGTCCAAGAAAAATATGAATCAGGCTTATGTTATAAAGTAGGAGCAAAAGCTATGCCACCGTGAAGACTGGGTACTCCTTTGCAATTAAATATAAAAAATAGGTCCATTTTTATGTCCAGAATGTATTTATTACAGTAAGACACATTTTATTAGGTCAGCAACAAAACCACCTCAGACATACTTCATTCCTCACGGACATGCTATCTTCACTGTTACTTTAATCCAAGTTAGTATCTTGAATACAGATTTCATTTACCTTTTTTCTCCTCCTGATACTCCCATGTGCCCTCAGAGCAAGGTATCTGACAAAACAGCCAGAAAAACACATCTTCTACTTCTCCTCCCACAGAAGCATGCAAGATGACTGCACAGCCACAGCTTCCCAGAGAATATGCTTTACAACGTTTGATGTGACCTCTGATCTTCACACAAACTCAGTCTCAAATCTTGCACTAGTCTGACCTACCACAACACAGGAGGAATGGAGCATAAACAGTAACAAAGCATGAAGGAGCCAGAAACTGCTTTATCGGTAGTGATAGGAACTGAAGAAATTAGCACAGTAGATGGCAGAAGATGAGACAGAGGTTAAAGTTGTGGGGCAGCACCTGAAGCCTGTTCTGGCTAGTCCTGAGATTAACCACCAGAGCTAGTAGGAACTGTAAAACCTGTGACAATGAGATGAATGTCAGGTTCTTCTTTTTTTTTGTATCCTGAAATATGTATTTAAATTTAGAAAGGAATTCCTTTTCCCTTTTTGGCTATTTTTTTTTTCTTTAATATATATTTCTACACACACACACACACACAGACACACACATACATTTTACAACCACTATTCTGATTTTTTTACTGGCAGTGAAATTTTAAAAACCTTTAAAAGCCTTTTAACACAGTTTCACTGGGACCAGAGAGTGAAACTACTACCACCAAACAAAGCTTTGAAAAAGAGCAGCCAGAGAAAGCACTCATCATTTTCACAACAGAATATCCCTCTGTGAAACAAACTTCTTGCTTACTAACACAGGTACCTTCCTCATTAAAACGCACAGGCTAGCAAAGCAAAATAGCAAAGGGCTCATGGCAGAATTACATCTGATATGTTGGAAGTGTGTATCACCCAGCACTGAGTTCCACTCTATGATTATATCCTATTTTGTACTCTGAAAAACAACAGCCTCCTACAGCAACAAAGACAATTATAAGACAGCTACAATTGATCCCAGAAAAGCTCTTTGCTTCTTAGAAAAATACTAGAACAGGAAAACAACCCCTTGCTAGTGAAATTAGCTCCTCTGATGATCTGTTCTTTAAATCAGGAAAGAAGGGATTTTTTTTTTTTTGTTCAGCACAATTTATTTTTAGACTGGCAAAGAGACAATGGTAAACAGAACTGAAGCTCTGTGGGCACCTTCTGAGGTTAAATTACCTTTCATGCCATTTGCACAGAAGACTGTTCTCAAGCAGATGGAGCAGATGGTCGGGACACCATTGTCCGTTTACTTGTATCCACAAAGATAAACGATGGCTCTTTGAAATCCTGAACAATATGACCCTTGTGCTGCTTTAGGCTGCCAAGGAAAAAAAAAAACAAAACAAAACACCCAAATAAATATAAAGTTAGCTGAAGAGAAGAAAAGAGCTTTGATTGATGAAATTTCATTTTAAACTACTGAAATCTCCCCTTTAAATAAATATATATCTCTGTAATTTGGAATTACTTTACTAAAAGAAACTAATATGTTCCAGAATACTTAGCAAAGTAGGAGACACAGGTAAAATCAAATTTCACACAGTAACTCTGACTGAAATAAGAATTTGCCATCTCTGCACAACTGCTTCTACTGCATAGAGCATTTGCTGGAGCATGATGCCAAATAACAACCAGTTCTGCTTACTGGGCCACAGAGATGGTCAGAGATTTCCAGGACCAAACCAGAGAAGACAACTGTCAGGGCACAGCAATCCACCCAGCCAAGCATTGGTAGAGAAGGTCATGAAAGTGGGAGAACATGCTGGATGGGGTTTTTAGTTGTTGTAAGAACTCAGACTTCTCTGAGAGCAGCCCTGGTCACATACCCCCAATATGAGCATTTTGCTGACTAGCAACTTAGTAAAAGGGTGCTTTTAATGAAACTAATATGTTTTGGCTGGGATAGATTAATTTTCTTCGTAGTAGCTAGTATGGGGCTATATTTTGGATTTGTTCTGAAAACAGTGTGGATAATTCGGGGATGTTTTTGTTACTGCTGAGCAGTCCTTACATAGAGTCAAGGCCTTTTCTGCTTCTCACCCCACCCCACCAGTGAGGAGGCTGGGGGTGCACAAGAACTTGGGAGGGGACATAGCCAGGACAGCTGGCCCCAACTGACCAAAGGGATATCCCAGACCATACGGCATCATGTTCAACATATAGAGCTGGGGGAAGAAGGAGGAAGGGGGGACACGGAGTGATGGGGTTTGTCTTCCCAAGTAGCTGTTACACATGATGGAGCCCTGCTTTCCTGGAGATGGCTGAACACCTGCCTGCCCATGGGAAGTGGTGAATGAATTCCTCGTCTTGCTTTGTTTGCGTGCATGACTTTTGCTCCACCTGTTAAACTCTCAGCCCATGAGTTTTCTCACTTCTACTCTTCTGATTCTCCCCCCCATCCCACTGGGAGGGAGTGAGCAAGCAGCTGGGTGGGGCTTAGTTGCTGGTGGGGTTAAACCATGACATAATAAGAAAGATAAATTTAAAGGACTGGAGACAACATGCACAGCAGTGAAGAAAGCCCGTAACTTTTAGGTAAATCTTTGGAATTCATAAGTAAAGTGAGCAGATAGTGGGCTTTGGACTTGCAACTAATTGCATAACCCATCACTCTGAAAAGGTCCTGAAAGAAAAGGAAAAGCAAGGTTGCTGAATATGGAAAGAATCACTTGGAATCAGTGAAGAGGCCCAGTTGCTGAGTTCAATACACACAGCAGAATAAGACAGATTTGGGTTTAGAAAATAACAGTGAAATTAGATAACTATGACTCACCAGCCACTCAATGTCCTAAATCCAGCAGGTACTGCAAAGCATTTAATTAACTAAAGTTGCGTATAAAGATGGATAATTGTTTCTGCAATAACTGCTTGTTTAAAGAATGACATAACAAATAAAATTCATATCCTCTATCTAATACCACACACTCCACACAACAGCAGATAAATAGTGGATACACTTCTCCCTCTCTCATTTCAACGATCAATTGACTTTTTTAAATCTCTTTTTGCTGCGCTGTTGACATATTCAACATGCCTTAGAACAAATATATAATTTAGTCATTTAAGATTCTTGTCAGATTTTTAGAAATGGTTAACACTCATTGGAGTAATGAAAGAAAGGAAAAGACAGGTTGAAATAAACATCAAGCAGTGGCATCCAGCAACTAAAAGTAATATGCTTTGATAATGGAAGAGTAATTATAGCTCATATAAGAGGAAATAAGTGTGAAATAATGTAAACATGAATGAGAATTTAATAAAAAAATAATGTTAAAAAATTAGGAAAACAGAACAATTTATGTTCTCAATGGGAATACAAGAGGAATCCCAGATGGGAAGAATTTTCCTAATTCTGCTCTCTGCCTCAGAAAAGGGGAAAACCAAAACTATGCCTGTTCTAAATATGAGTGTCTCATGCTAACTTTCATGCTAATGTTATTTCCATAAAAAAAAGATTCAGGGCCTTTCTTTCCCCAAGGGAGCACTCTCTCTGCTTCACTTCCCCTACTCTTTCTACAAAATGAAATGAAGGGCTACTGTCCCTCAGCTATTTGTCTCCACTTAACATCCACAGCTACATTTGCCTATTTGCAAATACAATATAATGAAAGTAATGAATATACCCATGAACATGCTTAATGTGAACCCACTCTCTGAGACAGTAAGAAGTGGGACAATATGATCCCCCATATCTCAGCAAACCAACACTATGTCTTCCAGTATCAGTGGATTTCACTTAGAAGTGTCTCTATTATTACAAACTGGACGCTATTTTCTTCCTCATAAACAAACTGATAAATGGTAAAAAATGCACAATACCTTTATATGAAAAGAAGTGATAAAGTGGCCTGTGAGGAACATGATAAAAAAGTCCCTGACCTCAAAAATAAAACATTTTCATTGAAAACACCAGAGTACATATTTTGGTTGTCCAGTAAAACAAAGGACTATTGAATAATACTAAGACAGATGCATTGTGATCAGATATCCTGTTTCAATGATACCAGTTCTAAAGAACTTGACATTTTATAGGAAATATGGCAAACCATAGTTATTTGTAAATGTGCTATTTAAAATGTGTTCTAAATAACTTCCATACTGTATGAATTGGAACATCCATAAATGTTTTAGCTTTCTGTCTACCTCTCTCCAGACATGAAATTGCCCAAAAGCATATATAAAAAAAAAAAAAGAATTTGAAACAGCTGTGAATAAAACTTCAGCAAATCAAATGAAATTTCGCTTTATTTTGTCACTCTTACCAGGAGCTCAGAAGCACTGTGAAGGGTGGATGAGGTAAGAGCAATACACACACACACACACAGAGAAGCAAGTGCACATACGTATAGATGGACAAACTAATTACCAGGGAAGTCAGGATGAAAACCCAGACGCAGAAATGTTGGTAGTTAAAACAACTGTTTATTCTTCCTTGGCAAAGCAGTAACAATTCCCTCCACATAAATTATTTCCTAGATCCTCCTGTAAGATAGGCCACCATTAGTGTGCAATAATGAGTTGTCAGCTGAGGATTGGACTGTTTAAAGCTGCTGCAAAAGCTGAGACAGAAATTTAGGCCATCTTTCACTTTGTACAACTGGGCATATGTCTTCTGATGACCAAAGATAGTTTCATTTCTTCAGGTTTAGAAGTATAAAAGGCCCCAGTGGGAAGGTCAGGAAGGTGTTCCCTCCATTATGTAGTAAATTAAATTGATCATTATTTATGGAGAGAGAATATGCTGCACACTCTCAGGAATAAGACTCAATAAAAACAAGGAAATGAAGAACTATTTTAGTTTTAACAGTGTGGTTGTACAGCAGCTGATTCCAGAAGGAATTTCTCAGTACTTAATTCCTTTCAGACTGCACATCATTTGTGAGTCCACATAAATATAGCAGAACAACACAGTGAGATTACTGAAATCTCATCTATCTTCCAAGGAGCTGAAGATACAGCATGTATTATTCCATAATCATAAAAAGGAGGTAACACAAAAGGGAAAAGCTGTCCTCAGTCTCAGTATTATGAATGACCAGCCTGGAACACATTTTAAGCAGTTATTCTGAATGATGCCTGTTAGAGTTAAAAGAGTTTAGCAGAAAAATGCTGATTAGGAAATCAGGTGACAATTTGATGCTGAAATTAGTAAAGCTTGCCTTTTAAATCTTGCAGAAAATGATTTATGAAGTTTGCAGTTAAGACATATCTACAGATTCAACTTCAGTTTAAAAATGTGTACTGGGAAGAAAAGACTACTTGAAACTGCATAGTCCAGAACTGTAGTTATTTCTTAAGTCTTTGTTTCACTAAGTGTAACTCTACCAAGATGTCAATCTCCACTGTCACACCAGAGAAAGAATAGATATCCTTATTAATAATCTTGCAAGTCAATGGGAGAAAGGATGAGCTCCATAACAACATGGACTGATCACAGAGCATTCCATTAAGACCAAACAGAAACCATGCCATGGTTGTTAATAACATATTGGCTCCTGACTTTCTGAAACTAGTAGACCGAGAATTTACAGACTGTTCGACACAAGATTTTACAATGATAAATGAAATGGAAGCTTTCAAGGATAATATATATTACTAAGGACAGAAATACCTGTGACTTTAAATAAAAATGAATACCATGACACATTTGGAGCAATTTTTCCCTTGAACATGCATATCTTTCAGATATTTGGCAGCAATCATGCCCATTTATGCAAGGTTAGAATTTCATCACCAAGGTTCCAGCAAATAAAGAAGCAGAACCCCATACAAATTCTGAGCAAGTCCTTAAGGACTTTAGTGAATGAAATTTTGTGATGTTGTGTAAGAAAATATAAACCACATAATTACCTATTATTTCTTATTTTGTGCAGACACATACACCCTTGCAGAATGGGTGCTAAAAGCACTACCAAATCAAAATGACTATGTTTCACAGCAATTTTACAGGTATTATGAAATACCTAAGATATTAGCAAATGGTGGAACCACATGTCTTTCAAGAACTATTAGAAATATAGGCTGGTATAATCTGCGATGTCATAAACTATGATAAATACTAATGAGTTTCACAGTGTCTTTTCTAAATGTCCACCTACGAAATCTTTAATTGCACTTCCAAGACATCCAAGTTTCTAAGAATTGGTTTCAGAATTTCTGTTATTTCTGCTTGCTCCTATTCTATTGTAACTTTCACAGACACCCCTTCCATTCTGTGAAGCGAAGACTTCATTAAACTTACAGACCCACTGATGAAAGGGCTCCACAGAACACAAGCCCTATTTGGCTCAGTTAATGTTGTGGACATGTGAAAATCTC